AAGTCCAACATCAGTCAAACACTAGACAGGATGGCAATATAGCAAACTTATTGATCAGATTGAGAAACAAGTTAACCAGCAGATTGCACACCTGTCCAAAGGACTTAGCCAAGAAGAAAGATCCATGCAAAAGAATATTGAGAGAGTCGGACTCTGAGGATATGCAGGATATCAATCTCAGTCCCTCCAATCTGTGGATTGAGAGACCAAAAGGTTCCTTGAGGGGGTCAAGTGAAGTGTTGCTGGAGATGAGTCAAGCAATGCAGAAACAGATGAGAAAAGTCCAGCCAGTAAAAAGCAGAAGATGCTGGAGTATAAAAACCATGGTTTGAAAGTGATCAAGCTGCTCAAGCATCAGGTTGAGCAGAAACACCAAAGACCCAAGAAATCCTGGAGTACTTCAGTTGTAACCCCTCCAAGATCAAACAACAAATTGCTCTTGTTGAGTCAGCACCCTCAGGTTACCTCACATCTCAATGGGACAATGTCATTCATGGAAAACCAGTTGATCTTGATATCCTCCTCTTTCAGAGCTTCTAGGGAGAATAGAGGCCATGTCAGATATCATGAGCTCGTTTTTGAAAACAGCAATCCAGCTAGAAAGGTCAAGACATATGCAATGGATCATAGCATTTAGTTTGCTTCAAGATACAATGCAGTTTGTTTTTACCCATAGAAAAAATGGGTAGTATCGAGGCTAAAACTGATCAAGGGAGATCTACTACTGGGAGAATTGGTAGAGAGTTGGAGGTGGACAAGCAAAACCATCCTAGAGGCCATCCTGCTAAGCTTATTCCATGCCATAAATAGGCTATTGTTCAACAAATCTCAAATGGGAGACTTGATACAGCTGTTCAAGCCACCAATTTTATCAAAATCATTTCCAACCCTGCCTCTCCTTGGACTGTTCAAAATGTGCTGAAAGAGAAGGGGTATCAGGTAAGACACAGTAAAAAAACATAAGCTTTTGCTAAAATTTGGTCAGATATTTACAGGCAGCTATAAGAGGGCAATAAGTAGTGGTATCAAGGTCAAGACACATGTTTGACCTGAAGATGAGGAATGAAAGTCTTGTTATCACACTCAGCCACTATCTCAGAATAATGAGGAAATGTGGCAGTCCATAAAAGGCACAAGCCTTGTCCTCACACTAATCTACTGAAAATTGTAAAACAAAAATTGTCCCTAGGAGGATTCGAACTTCCGGCTTCTCGGAGCTAACCTTATTTCTGAAGGTGCCACAACGAGATGATTTAACCACTAATCGACAGGGACTACATATAACGTGAAATGCTCAGTGTGTGTATGGCTCTGAGTGTCAATTTGGGAAGCTGACTTGTTTGGATTTCTTTAACTCTACCTGACCTTCCTTTTAGTCGCGGTCCACGGTACACAGTGTTGTACTTTATAAGGGGCCGACGATGCACTTGTACAACTTGACTCTTCAACCACCTACCGCCGCTACACAGGCTATTGTCGGTAACTTTTCTGGAGCCAGACAGCAGGAGATCATCGTTTCTCATGGAACGCGGTTGGAACTGCTGCGTCCAGATGTCCAGACTGGGAAAGTATCGACAGTCATTGCAACGGACGTTTTTGGGTCCATTCGCTCACTTGCAGCTTTTCGTCTGACTGGAGGAACTAAGGGTGAGTTGCTGTGCGTACTATTTTTCATGTATACATTCATATAATATCTTTTAGATTATGCGATCGTAGGCTCCGACTCTGGACGTATCATTATCCTTGACTATGACCCAAAAACTAGTACATTTGTGAAACTCCATCAGGAGACTTACGGAAAGTCTGGCGCACGGCGAATCGTTCCAGGGCAGTACTTGGCAACCGATCCAAAAGGTCGAAGTGTAATGATTGCGGCCATGGAGAAAGCAAAACTTGTTTATATCCTCAATCGTGATGCTGCGGCAAATTTAACGATATCTTCGCCACTGGAAGCCCATAAGAATTCTGCTATCATTCATCATATTGTCGGCTTGGATGTTGGCTTCGAAAACCCATTATTTGCTGCACTTGAGGTCGACTATACCGAGTCAGATCAGGACCCGACTGGCGAGGCGTTTAACAATACAGAAAAGGTTCGTGACATAGTCGTCTACTTGTTACAAAACTAAAACATCATATAGATGCTCACTTATTACGAATTGGATTTGGGCCTGAACCACGTAGTTCGAAAATGGAGTGAACCCACAGACCCACGCGCCAACCTTCTCGTACAAGTCCCTGGCGGGCAATTAGCATCCTCAGACCGCTTTGACGGCCCATCCGGTGTTCTTGTGTGTTGTGAAGACCACATAATCTACCGACATATGGATGTACCCCAGCATCGTGTCCCGATACCCCGTCGTAGACATCCTCTCGAGGATCCTGGTCGAGGATTAATCATTGTGGCGGCGGTCATGCACAAGATGAAGGTGAGTCGACGAAACAGGGTTTTTTTTCTGGCTCACACTCTATGTTAGGGGGCGTTTTTCTTCCTGTTACAAAGCGAAGATGGTGATCTGTACAAAGTTACAATTGAACATGAGGAAGAGGAAGTGAAATCTTTAAAGATCAAGTACTTTGATACCGTACCTGTTGCTTCCAGTTTGTGCATTCTTAAATCTGGTTTCCTCTTTGTCGCATCTGAGTTTGGCAATCAGTGCGTCACCACACATTACCTCTTGTATTGCATTGACAGCCTTTTACCAGCTTCCTTTACCAGTTCCAGAAACTGGGCGACGATGACGATGAGCCTGAGTTCAGCTCTACTGATTACCCAAACTTTGGCATGGAGGACCCAAGTACGCCACTACCTCATGCCTACTTCCGTCCCAGGCCTCTCGAGAATTTGGTTGTTGCCGATGAAATCGAATCGCTTGATCCCATAATTGACTCAAAAGTTCTCAATGTGCTCCCCAACTCCGATGCCCCTCAAATTTTCGCAGCGTGCGGTCGCGGTGCACGAAGTACATTCAGGACATTACGTCATGGACTTGAGGTTGAGGAATCCGTGAGCTCAGATCTCCCAGGTATTCCTAACGCTGTCTGGACTACGAAACAAAAAGAAGATGGTAAATATAACGCTTCAATCATCCGTGTTCAATCGTGATTATCTCTGCTTTTCCTTAGATCCATTTGACTCCTACATCATCTTATCCTTCGTGAACGGAACACTCGTGCTATCAATCGGCGAAACGATAGAAGAAGTCCAAGACACGGGCTTCCTTTCTTCAGCACCCACGCTCGCTGTGCAACAAATTGGTGCTGACGCCCTGCTCCAGGTCCACCCTCACGGTATTCGTCATGTTCTGTCCGATAGGCGAGTCAACGAATGGAGAGTACCTGAGGGCAAGACAATTGTTAGCGCAACAACCAACAAGAGGCAGGTCGTCGTTGCTTTGAGTTCGGCCGAGTTGGTCTACTTTGAGCTGGATTTGGATGGTCAACTCAACGAGTACCAGGATCGTAAGGCGATGGGAAGTACAGTCCTAGCTTTGAGCGTAGGCGAGGTCCCGGAGGGTAGACAGAGGACACCATATCTGGTAATTGTCCCACATTTCATCGTTCATATCTATTAACGGTATGTAGGCTGTAGGTTGTGAAGACCAAACTGTCCGGATCATCTCTCTGGACCCTGAGAGTACTCTTGAAACAATCAGCTTACAGGCATTAACAGCTCCGCCCTCGTCCATCTGTATCGCCGATATGCTCGATGCGAGTATCAACAAGTCACAGCCAACCATGTTCGTCAACATCGGTCTTCAGAATGGTGTCTTGCTCCGAACCGTCCTCGAACCAATCAATGGTCAGCTTACGGACACACGAACTCGGTGTGTGTTCTCCTGTCCTTCATCAAAATCGGTACTAATTTGTCATCGCTCTTTAGTTTCCTTGGAACACGTCCAATACGGCTAGTTCGTGTCCAGATCCAGCGCAATCCTGCGATTCTGGCTCTTTCCTCACGTTCATGGCTCAACTACACTCACCAAAACCTCATGCACTTTACCCCACTCATTTTCGAGAACTTTGATTATGCGTGGAGTTTCTCTGCAGAACTCAGTCCAGAGGGTCTCATTGGTATCGCTGGAAGCACCCTACGGTAAGGAATAATTATTCTTCCTGCTATTGTACAATCTTTGAACTGCTGGATCCAGGATATTCCAAATACCTAAACTCGGGACGAAATTGAAGCAAGACTCCATTCCTTTGTCATACACTCCGAGAAAGTTCATTACCCACCCTTCAAACCACTATTTCTACATGATTGAAGGTGATCATCGGGTAATGGGAGAGGGTGCGGCAAGTAAACGCCTTGAGGAACTCGTATGTTTTTTGGTAAACCTGCTGTTGCTAATGTCTGATTTGATGTGTAATCAGCGTCGACAAGGGAAGTCAATTGACAACGAGGTCATAAATCTCCCTCCTGAAACCTTCGGCCGACCGAAGGCGCCTGCGGGAACGTGGGCGTCGGCAGTTCGAATTATTGACCCCATAGAGGTAGGTTATCACGACAACGACGTTCACTTGCAAATTGATCTTTGTCCCTTCAAAGGCTAAAACTGTCGCGTTCATCCCTCTCGATGGTAATGAAGCTGCGTTTTCACTAGCAGTAGTCCCGTTCGCTGCGAGGGGCGGAGAGTTACATCTGGTCATTGGTACTGCAGCTGATACCCTTATCTCCCCTCGTACATGCTCGAGTGGTTTCCTTCGAACATACCGATTCACAGATGATGGTGCCGGACTCGAGTTGCTTCACAAGGTACTGCGCTCACCTCCTTCCTTGTGTTACAAGCGTGTTAATAACCTTGTTGCCAGACAGAAACAGACGACGTCCCTTTGGCACTTTTGGGTTTCCAAGGCCGTCTTGTTGCCGGCGTTGGTAAAGCTCTAAGAATCTATGATATTGGAAAGAAGAAGCTACTGCGAAAGGTTGAGAACAAGGTTTATACCCATCTGTCTTGTTTTGTGGCGTCAAAATCTAATATGAGTCTCAGGCCTTCTCTTCTACAATAATCTCACTTGCCACTCAAGGTTCGCGCATTATAGTCGGTGACATGCAAGATTCAATCTATTATACTGTCTACAAGCCCCCTGAAAATCGCCTTCTCATATTCGCTGATGATAGTCAGCCGCGGTGGGTGAGCGCCATGACGATGGTGGATTACAACACTGTTGCGGCTGGTGATCGTTTTGGCAACATCTTTGTAAACCGGTTAGATCCCAAGGTGTCGGACCAAGTCGATGATGATCCAACTGGGGCCGGTATTCTTCATGAGAAAGGCATTCTCATGGGTGCGCCTCACAAAACAAGACTCCTGACGCATTATCATGTGGGAGACATTGTCACCTCGATCCACAAGGTTTCTCTCGTTGCTGGCGGTCGTGAAGTCCTTCTCTACACTGGTCTCCATGGGACGATCGGAATCTTGATACCTTTTATCTCCAAGGAAGACGTCGATTTCTTCTCAACGCTCGAACAGCACATGCGGACAGAGCAGAGCAGTTTGGTGGGCAGGGATCAGCTAAGCTTCCGAGGTTACTACGTTCCGGTGAAGGCGACAGTCGATGGAGACCTATGCGAGACTTATGCGAGGTTGCCTGCTGCAAAGCAGAGCTCCATCGCTGGCGAGTTGGATAGAACAATCGGGGAAGTTTTGAAGAAACTAGAACAGCTCAGAGTAACGGGTAGTGGGTTCTAGTATGTAGTATATAGTATAGTGCTTTCTTTGTTAATAACATATGTATGCGATATTGCGATTTTTCTGTTGACAGGGGCAGGAAGTAGATACATGTCATTCCCTTTATAAAGGTAGTGATCTCACATCATGCACAACCTTATACCACCATGTTGAAGGTCGCAACAAGAACTTTACTCAAGGCATCTCGCCCTCAGCTTGTTTCTCCGTCTATTAAAACCTTTTCAAGGTCTCTTATCACTCTCAAGGACCACAAGGTATCTACATATCCTATGAAATCTCCTGGGGGACCGACGCGTCACTATGTACATAGTACACTGCACATGCCACTGCTAAAGGTAAAGGGCGCAACGGGGAGGTGAAGTCCAATGGACTTGACCTCCACCTTGCCACACCGAAAGAGCTCGGAGGAACTGGGAAAGGAGAGAACCCGGAGCAACTGTTCGCAATGGGATATGCTTGTAGGCGGCTATTCGGGCTCCCTCTGTTATTGCTTACGTTTGACGTCCAGCTTGCCTGCTTGGTGCTATTCAATTGGTAGCTGGACGTATGGGCAAGGACGCCTCGAAGGCTGTTGTTCAT